CATGTAATTGCCAGACCATCTCGCCCGGACAATCTGTACAAGGTCTTCCTGTTGCTGCATAAGTTTAGCATCAAAGCTCCTCCCAAAAGAGATCTTGATTTGAACCCCATCCCAAATCTCAATAATAGTGACATTAACCTCTTTGCACACAAAATATATGTCAAAGAACTGAACAGCTAAGCTAGAATATTTGACTGACCGAAATAAAAATAGTTGCCTGTCAAGTTAATTTTACAACTACCTCCGATCGATATTACTTGTCACTCAAGTGGATGTATCCAGATGTATTTCAATGCTAGATACATCCGTTTGAGCGACAAGTAATATGGATTGGAGGGAGTAGTGATTTTACATGACGTTGTACGATTAAAATGACATTTCTCTACGAAATTTTCAATACTTCCAACTAGATTAATTTTTTCTTTGCAGTTGAACTAGATTAAACATTAACTACTCCCTCCGTCCCATAAATATAAGAGCATTTTTGACATTCAAAAACGCTCTTATATTATGGAACGGAGGGAGTAGTATATAAAATTATACATATACTCCCTCCGTCGGAAATACTTGTCATCAAAATGGATGAAAATGCATGGTTGCGCACGCCTACTTGTTGCTGTACTGGTCTTCATTGACTGGTCTCGGCAACAGGGATGAAAATACTTGTCCAGGTCGTCTTTGGCCGGATGTGGTGACGATAGCGCGAGAACCTTATTCCTTCTTGAAGGTGTTGCTGCAGAAGAAGTCGACTTGGTCGTAGGTGTTTATTTGATATCTTTTGTAATGGTCCGGTCGTGTCTGTTTTGTTTTGTACTCTGCTTACTAATTAATAAAAATGGATTTGTGCATCATAATGATGCAGAGGCCAAGGGTTTGAACTTCCTTTTTGAAAAATTGGTTGTGCACTGGGGCGTAGAAACTCATTCCTGTCAAATTCATATTCCAGTTTGACGAGTTATTTTTTCAGGGGTATTTCTTTTAGATGTAGAATTAGAATTCAAGCATACCACCATGTTTGCTCTAAGAACTTGAAAATTCATATGGTCATCGAATAAAAAAGAGATAGCTATACTCTCGGCCTTGAGGTGGCTTAAAGTTGTCATAATGCAGATTAATCAGAACATTATATATTGAACCTGTTAATATTATTACAAAGATATCATAGTCGGATCATACACACGATGGAGATCAGAACAACCTTGTTAGTTCTAACTTTATGTCTAACTAATTTTTATAGAACGCTTCACGAGTGAGCAGGTTGGTGCTTGATTCTCTATGTCCGTGGCGGAGACACTTGGTTGGCATCAATCACCTTGGGCTCCACCCTCTCGACATCTTGTACACAAGCCTCACCCACGGCGACCATCAAGAGCGCACCGGATCGACGGCGTATGTCATGCCCTCGGCGATGGAGATCTACGAGGCCGGAATCCATTTCAGGGTGAGCGATACCGACAGCCTCCTCGACGTCCACTTCGAACGTGGCAAGCTAAGCATGCCGGCGATCAGGGTCGATGACAGGACCGAGAAGAAGTTTCTGAACCTGATGGCGTTCGAGCGGCTCCACCCCGGCGCTGGCAACGACGTGACGGCTTACGTGATCTTCATGGACAACATCATCAGCTCGGCCAAAGACGTGGCGCTGCTGAGATCCAAAAACATTATCGAGTGTGGGCTGGGCAGCGACGAGGAGGTGGTCAAGCTACTCAACAACACGCTCAACAAAGGGGGAGTGATGAGCCCATCTAGCAGGCTACACGATGTGCAACGGCGGGTGAAGGCCCAATGCACGATGAGGAGGAACAAGTGGCGAGCCAATTTCATACAGAGGTACCTAAGGAATCCTTGGGTGTTTATCTCCCTCGTAGCCGCCGTCGTCCTACTTGTGGCCACTCTATTGCAGACTGTGTATACTGTTTTGCCCTTCTATAAGATTATTTAGTACCACCTGAATATGCCATGTAAGCTGGCTAATATTGAAGCATATATTTTTTGTCCAATTTGGTTCGTGGACTCTCTCCCTGGTTTGTTTTATGAGTACCTACCTTGTCCCAAAATCTGAGGCCATATGCATCCCACCACCACCACGGCACTGCGGATCAGAGTTACTGGTGTTTGGGGGAAGCGGCAGACATGCAATGTGTGCTCGAAGGACTGACATACTTGCATGATCTCAACTGTCGTTTGCTGCTCAAGCTCAATGCAAAAGTACTACGGATACTTTTGATTTGGGAAATTAAATTCAGAATTCCTAAAAAGCAGTACTATGGTGAGAAAAATAACTCTAGAGACTGCAAAAATAGCTCGTGGAAACTACAAAGCTCATCCAAGGAGCGCACCTTATTATTCATATTGAACATTTGATCGTATCTCCTTCTGTTTTGATTCAATGCGGGTGCTCAGCATGGGACCTGAAAAATCTGACATCATCATCGGTATAACAATTAACAAACAAAATGAACATATCGTGCCTTCAAAACTCGTGAAGTTCAGGTTCAATGTAAGGACAAGATGCAGGTAAAACTGATATCATATCAATCTGATACGAGGAAGCAAGGCAGTCAAGTGCTTGTGTGACTTCCTTGAAAATGTTCAGAGTGTGCACTGCATACTATGGACGATGGCCATGGAATCCATTTTTTTTATTTTTTTTGGAAATGGAGGCGTACCCCCGGCCTCTGCATCCTAACGATGCATGCAGCCATGGAATCCAAATAATGAACATATCCTATCTATAAGGAGTATTGCACTGTGCAGCAAAATCAGCTGTTCCTGTTAACGCGTTCTGCAACCGTTGGAGTTTTTGAGCCAGCCCCTGACAAGTGACAAGAACACTATGTCATTTTTGGCAGGAAGTTTTTGTTAAAACCTGTGGAAACAGATAGAAAACATAAATCACAGAGACAAAAGAAAATAGTACTCAAGTTCTGGGTGTTACTGACTCATTATTGGTTTGACAGGTACATGAGGGTCTAAGGTGTATTGATGGAATAACTTTTCTTCACCTTTAAAGTACCCGATAGATCATTAATGTTTGAAGAGTCTTCAGTCATGTCCGGCAGATTAAAGCTTGCCACTTTGCATAAAAACTAATGATGCTAGCAATACGAATGTCTTGAGTCCTTTTGTCCCAAGCAAATTGGGGTTGGCTAGAGATGAAACCCAACAAAAAACCGTGACAAAGATATCAGAATAATTCCAACTATCATGCCATAAGTGGAAAGAGAAAAGGATCACCAAAGTTAAGTAGTACTCCACCTAGCACGAATTCTGAGATTTACAATTGGCCTGCAAGTCACCCAATACAGGCTTTCTTTGTGATCGCCTTGCAACACTGCAGCCGGTCAACATTAACCATCAGAAAGCTAAATCAGTAACCAAATGTTGAGCCCCAGTTCATCTTAACCAAATGTTCAAACATAGAGCAGAGATGTTCAACTGGAGTACAAATAATAGTAACACCTAGGCTATCTGACCAACTGAGATGTCGCATTCTAGCAAAGCAACCAAGGGGTGGGCAGCAATGACGCCATGAACTAACGATCCTCACCAGAGGCAGATCCATCATCCGGGGCGCATCAAGCGGCGTGAAGGAGCGCCGCGGCTGCCTCCGACTCCGACCCCGTCTGCAACCACCCGCCGGTATACGCGAGGAATGCGACGGACAGGACAGGAGGGCGAACGAATCAATTCATAGGAGAAGGAGGGGATTCTGGCGCTCCCGTTCCCGTCCATGAGGCGCAGCGGAGCATGGTCGCCATACGGATCCGGGGAAGAGGAGAAGGGGTCGCCGCGGCTCCTGGAGGCGGCAGATTGACGCCGAGTGCTGCCGCCGGTCATCGGAGAGTTCCCGGCGATCTAGCCTGCCAGCACGGGGAGAGGAGGAGCGGGCTTTGGTGTTTCTTCCAGTTTCCGCCTCCGCACTGCCTTGACGGAATCTACAATAGTTTCCGATGAGGAAAAACCAAATACAGGCCACCTCTTCCTGCTTTCCGCCTCCGCATTTCGTTGACAGAAAATAGAATATGTCTCGCTCAGAAAAAACCAATACAGGCCACTTGTTCCTACACATGGCCCATGTACAGCCACATAACATTTTAAAAAGTGCTCACAAGTTTTAAAAAATGTACAGAATTTCTAAAAATATTCGTTTTATAAAAAATGTTTGGATTCTTTAAATATTCACCTTTAAAATATTCATAAAATGTTTTAGTTTTATAAAACAATGTTCAAATTTTTAAAAAAGAATCACATTTTTTTAAATCAGATTTTTTATAAAATATTTATACAATACTTATAAAAATTGTTTTCTTTTTGAAAAAAGGTTCACGTTTTGCAGAACATTGTGGGCCCTAGTTGTCAGGCCATGGCCAGGAAAGGTCCATATTACAGGCTTGATGGGCCCTAGTTGTCAGGCCATGGCCAGGAAGGGAATGCATCGGCTCTTTTTGTCTCAAGGGGAAAAAAGGCATCAGCTCTTCACTCCATTGGATCCTCAAAAAAAAAAGCTCTTCACTCCATTGACTCGCTTCGATCCCCATTCTACCCAAACCCTGAATCCACGGAAACATACGCACACAATGGAAGGAGAGACGCGGCCGCCGCCGGAGCTGGATGGATTGGAGGGTGAGGCGCAGTTGGCCGCGGTGGCGTGTGTCTCCAAGGTGCTCGGCGATGAGAACCTCCTGACGGAGATCATCGTCCGCGTCGGCTGCCCCACCAGCATCGTCCGCGCCGCCAGAGTCTGCAGGCTCTGGCTCAGCCACGCCTCCGACTGCGCCTTCCTCCGCCGTTTCCGCGAGCTCCACCCGCCCAGGCTCCTCGGCTTCTACGGTTCTACCTCGAGCAAAGGGAGTGTCCGGACGCTGCCGCATGATTCTTCCCGATGCTGCCTCAGCCTCCGGGGGGCAAAATTTCGTGTTTTGACCCTTTTTGGAAAGTATTTCAGGATCTGACCCCTGTTTGAAATTTTTTCGAGATTTGACCCTTTTGCCTACCGTCAGGGCCTTTGGCGGTAGGGTTAGATAGCCTACCGCCACGGCCCATGGCGGTAGGAAACTTATCCACGTCAGCGCGCGGAGACGGCGCCGTCCCCCTCCGTCGCACCCTACCGCCAGGGGCCCTGGCGGTAGACTGTCTAACCATACCGCCAGGGCCGCTGGC